CAGGAAGAGATGCGAGGTACCGGTGGGGTGAGGTGCCCCGGGTGGGGCGCACGCCGCGAGGTGCCCCGGGTGGGGCCAGGTTGCCCGGGTGGGGCACGTGCCCGGGTGGGGGTGAGGTGCCCGGTGGGGTGAGTGCCCCGGGTGGGGCTGAGTCCCGGTGGAGTGCCCGGGTGGGGTGAGGTGCCCCGGTGGGCGAGGTGCCCGGTGGGCGAGGTGCCCCGGGTGGGCGAGTGCCCGGTGGGGGCGAGTTACCCGGGTGGGGCGCGTGCCCCGGTGGGGGCGAGGTGCCCCGGGTGGGGGCGAGGTGCCCCGGTAGGGGCGAGGTCCGGTGGCGAGTGCCCGGGTGCGTGAGGTGCGGTGGGGCGAGGGCCGGGTGGGTGAGGTGCCCCGCGGTGGGTGAGGTGCCCGGGTGGGGCAGTCCCGGGTGCGGGGCGAGGTGCCCCGGGTGGGGCGAGGTCCCCCGGGTGGGGGCGAGTACCCGGGTGGGCGAGCGTGCCCGTGGGGCGAGGTGCTCACGGTGGGGTGACGGCAAGAAGCCGGCTCTTCTCTCTCGCTGCACTGACCGAGCCGCGGCTGCATGTTCAGGCTCGCGGTGGCTCACGCCCAACCCTATGCAAGCACCAAGGACAGGATTCACAGCACCGAAGTGTGAGAAGCACTTGGACACACACCCGCTGCTGCAGAAACCGTTGAGAAACAGCAGTGCTGTTTGCTGTGGCTTCTGTCACACGGTCCAGCTCGGTGCTGGACCGTGCTGTGTGCTGTGTGCTGTGTGGCTTCTGTCACACGGTCCAGCAGCAGTTGCCGTTTTTTTTCTTCTCCAGGTAAAGTTGAGGGCTTACACAATGGGCAGGTGTTTAAGCTTTGTTTGCATGTTCATTGATGTGTTAAGTAGATTTATACAATATTTAAATGTTCTGAGTTGAAAATACTAAACAAAAAGGAAAATGAGCATCTCAGCCCAGGAGCTTAGAACTCGGGTCTTGGAAGTTGTTGGCAGCAGCTGATGGGGGGAAAACACACGAAGCCCAGAAAGGCGCTCCTGCCCAGTGACTTCCCGTTGTCGCTGCTACAATCTCAAATCTGCACGCCATTCTCTGTGTGTTATCTCCTTTGAGCACATTAACATTAAATTAAAATTAGAGTGCTTTCTGAAGAGGAGAATGTATTAAACTGTTAATAACTATTCACCTTTAAGTCAAAATAGAATATTAATTTCTTTAAAAAGTGAGACTCTGGGCTGGGCGCGGTGGCTCATGCCTGTCATCCTAGCTCTCTGGGAGGCCGAGGCGGGTGGATTGCTCGAGGTCAGGAGTTCGAAACCAGCCTGAGCGAGACCCCGTCCCTACTAAAAATAGAAACAAATTAATTGACCAACTAAAATATAACATACAAATAATCACAGCAGCAGGCTGGTGCGCATGCTTGTAGTCCCAGCACTCGGAGACTGAGGCAGGAGGATCGCTTGGGCCCAGAGTGTGAGGTTGCTGTGAGCTAGGCTGACACCACGGCACTCACTCTAGCCTGGGCAACAAAGTGAGCCTCTGTCTCAAAAAAAAAAA